TTCCTACCATGTGCTTTTAAATTCTTTAGTGTCACATACTTATATATGAGCACTGGCATGTACAGTACAAATACTTCCTCTTGTCAGTTCCTAAATCTCCAGTAAGAATGCATGTGATGTTGTGGATATGCAAATAATATCAAATCCTTGGACAAGCAAAATTTGAATAGGGTCAAGTGAACAAAAAATTATAGGTAAACAAAAGTCAGGTAAGTCTAATATCATATAAAAATTAAAATCAAGAATTAAAGCTGGGCTATGTTATTTCTACAGACCCCAGTGAAATTCATTTTAAGGCAAGAAGAGATAATGAAATTCAGATAAGAAGTGCTGCTACATACCACATGCCATGAAGCTTGACACACTTTGTTCCAGCAGCAGGAATTAATACTATTATTATTACTTCTGGGAATGTCAGAAACATTCTTTTTGCTTAAATTTCCCATAGGTCTTTGTTAGCATAAATAACGCTGTCCCTTGTAGAGCCTCCACTGCCCAAACTTTGAAGAAGACTCACAGAAAATCTCTAATCTCTACCAAACATTTCTGTAATATTTTGTAGATTCAGGAATAGATACATGCTTTTTAACAGACAACCAATCTTTGGTGTGCCAACTCTCCCCTTACACATCTGTCAGACATTTCAAACATCTTATGAAGCAGATGCCTAAAATATCCTTCTGAAGGGAAAGGAGGGATGAAGTTTCTAATCCTCTATTTGCAATCCTTGGCATAATATTCTATTTCAGCAGCAAATCACACTTCTCTAGTTGTTCCCTAAGAACTGTGGCTACAAATGTCAGCGGATCATATAGGAGAGCCAGGTACAGATCTGTCAAACCTGGCACTGCTGAAAACTGAGCATCCCTTTAACATTTCAGGGTGCCTTACTGCTTAGTTTTTCATGAACAGAGCCCAGATGACACACCCTTGAGAGCACCCTGTAAAGAGAATGGAAAGTGTAGTAAGTCAGGACTGGTCAGAGATTTTATTTGACAAAGGCATTCCTGACAAAGTGAAATGAGAATGTAAACATATCCTTTGTGAGTATCTGAATGTACCTAGTGACACATCATGAGGAATGACAGGCAATTAACCCTGTTAACAGCTTAGACTGGTGTCCCAACTATCACTACACAGGCTACTAGTGATGGCAAAACATGGGCAGTAGCACATATTTCTAGAAACACCACCTACCCTTACCTGAACAACCTACCTGACTCAGGTGAGAATGCCTGTGTGAACTGGAATTGGCAGAGAACACAAAAAGAGCAATAGCCTAGAGGTTTTCAGTAGCAAAGAGGTTGTCAGTACTCTAAGTGGTTGCCCAGCGAGAGTAATGAAGAGAGCATTTTTTTTTTCTGTTGAGAAATTAGATTAAAATGTTACAATTTTAAAAGGTGTTATTTTTCCTGTGGGGAAAAGAAAAAAGATGTTGGAAATAGCAATCAGTAGAAGATATAAAGTCAAATGTTAGAGGAATTTCAAAAACACATTTAGAAGAACATATATTGTTTGAAAAGGCCAAGGCAGAAGAACAACATCTTGTATTAACAATAAAACATTGAAAGTTTCTGCTAAGAAAGAAGCTGTTGAACATGAGTGTAAAAGGAAGAAGAGGAGAGTGAGAGTGTAACTAGAAAGATTTCCATTTCTAAAGTGCTGAAAAACTCTGAGAGCCCCAGTATGCCCGCAGTTGGACCAACACTGGTAACCTGCACCTCGTAAATCTACCAGAAGCAATTTAAGAATCATTACCCTGGTAGCCAAAGTATCTAGCTATCCCTCAAATCAGGTATTGTATGAGTAGAACAGGGCTATAACTAGGCCTTAAAATTTCGCCTTCACCAAGGTGCCCTTTCACAGTGACCCACAGGAATGGATATGATGGATCCTCACTGATTACCAACACCACTGCAATGAAGTGTCAAAGAGATCAAAGATTTAAAATGCACTGTGCCTGTGGCTGGAAGAATCTTGAGAAGAGTGAAGGAGAAAAAGGAGATACATGGAATGGTATAAAATGTTAAGTAAGTCCTAGCTGACAAAATACTTCTTAATAGTTCTGGACTAAATTTCTGCTTAAAGCCTTAAGGTGTCAGGAGTGACCCAGGCCATTCCAGGATTATTAATCAACTACAGTTATCTAGAAAAATTGTATGTCACAAAGTGAATTTAGAGGGGTCTAACTCCTGGCGGCCAGATGTGACTTAAAATGCCATGCATCTTTCTTGTATTTGGTCAACCTGACCACTCACTGAATTTACAAGTCACTGACTTTCTGAAATACTTCTTTAGTAAAGATAATAGACCTTGTAGACAAAATACAATGCATCAGAGTTTTACTTGTATAAATATCTTTAAAGTATATTTTCAGTAGAGCTGCCATGCACAAAAGTATGAACAATTGAATAAAAACTAGCTTCAGAGTAAATTTTTCTGTGAGGTTCTACCAAGGCAACAGAAATTACAAGCAGTCTTCAGTAGTAATCCTCCTTTCAGTTCTATGTCCAGTTGCTCTTATTCACATGGTTTTATTTCCTCTTATGTCTGTGTGCTTATATCTAACATGATGAGGAATACAAAGCATGAAGAGGAAAAAAGGCCCATACCAACTTTTGAATCCTCCACTTGATTCAGTTTTGTAAAGGAGAACATTTCTGAGAATATTTTATTCATATGTGCTAGGGCAGTTTGCTAGCTGTGTTACATAAACCAAGGAGCTGGAATGGGAGATGCAGCAAAAGTCAAGTTTCTTATATGATGGGGAAACTGATAATTTTTATTCAAATGAATATTTATAGTTGTTAGGAGTTTTGCTCCTATCCGTTATTCCTACAAAGGACTAATTATGTTGTGCCCACATCACTGTGAGGAACTGAATCTGTTTACTCTGCCACTAAGTGCTGGGAAGAAAGAACATATTTTGTTTCCTGTTTAAAAAAAAATCTGTTGAAAGCAGCAGGAGCATCTGGCTCCTAAACTTACAGTTTCCCAACTTGCTGAGTCCACTTAAAGCTCTTGAAAGGACAACAACAATTTGGTAATTATCTCTCTCCCTTAAACTAAATTTTCTTACGTGCACCTTACCAGTAGACTGATCTTGTCTGTCTTGTTCCAAACATTCCCAGGGTAGTATTGAAGAAACAAAAGATTAAAATGAAAAAAAAATGAGCATAGTAAATGTGAAAAAAAAAAAAACCAAACTAATCAGTGCACTTTTGGTTTGTGGAGTTTGGGGGGTTTTGTTTGTTGCGGGGCGGGGGGGGGGGGTTGTGTTTGGTTGGTTGTATTTTGTTGTTGCTGCTTTGGGGTTTTTTATTACTATCATTACTACTGCTATGGGACAAAGACCCCTGTAATACCCAAAAGCATGTAAAGGAGTAGCTTTTCCATGGATAGTCAGCAAGTTAAATCAGAGACACAACGGATGGATAAAGGTCAACATTATATCCCTCTTTAAAGGTGGAAAATTAAATCACAGGAAAAGTAAGTGATTGGTCAAAGGTCAAAGAGAAAGCCAGTTGCAGAACATGGAAATTGAAAAACTGTTTCTTATATTCAGTGCCTTAACTACCAGACTGCTATTTCTTTAATCTGAAGAGGGAAAAAAACTCAGTGGTGGAATAGTATTAAAATTAGTTTTGCTGAGAACAGTCTGAATTTCTCTGTCTCATCCAAAACTGGATATCATTCTGCCTCATTAAAGCAGAAATGAGATCCATGCCAACAACACTGATGTGGTGAAAACAAAACCACAACTACTCTTAGCATTAAAGATTTTTGTACTTCAAAAAATTGGTTTGCAGTTTTGGAGAAACAGTCAAGTCAATTGTTAATTTCATTGTAGCTTTAGAGAAATTAACAATACCACCACACTTGCCTTCAGAAAACTGAAGTTTGGAGCTATATTTGAGAGCTATGAGACCATTGCTGGTGCTTCATCTTCATGTATAATTGTTTCTGTAAAAACTTACACACGTGTATAGACATAAACACACAGGAATATACTTACTTATCCACATAAATATACATACACATGCATGTGCGGGCATATAGACAGGGGCACATAGGCATTCTACACATATACATATTTACATAAATATAAAGACATTACATGGTATTTAAAGAACACAAGGCAGTGCACGCAAAAAGGCAGAGGTCATTTTCCCAATTCTCTTTCATTATGTGAGACAGTTCCAGATAAGATGTGACATTACAGTATAAGCTAACAGAGAGTGGTCACAAGCTCCATTTCTGTCTCTGTGTCTAGGAAGCTCTCTATACCCTGCCAGCCCCAAGGGATTAAACTTCAATTACACCATATGCCTGGGCTTTGCTTGCCCTAAACAGTGTCAAGGACAAGGGCTGTCCAGCGAGCCCCATCACACTGTAACCCAGTCACCTGGAATCACTCCTGTCACCTCATGGGCAACGTGGGAAAGTTCACACTGAAAGGCTAAGCCGAGGTCCACTATCTGTGGGTGCCTCATCATCGCAGCACTGCTCTGCCTTGGCAACCTTCCCCGTGTGTGTGGAGGAGCAGCGAGCTTGGCTCCTAACCTTGGGCTGGCCCGGGTGGCTTGGGTCACAGGAATGGCATGCTGCAAGGGGAAGGTGGCGGGGGGGTGGAAATAGCAGGGGCTTCTACCGAAAATATTAACCCGTCTATTTGGAAAGTGATGGCTGCCTTTGAAATCTCTCCTTTAACATCTATCCTTAGCCCCGGGCGGGGAGCGTGCGCCGGGGGTGTGCGGGTGGGCTGGGGAAGGGCTCCCTGCGCAGCCCCGCGCCTTTGTGCTCCAGCCGTGCCCCCGAGCCCAGACGCGGCTCCCGAGCCCCCACTCGCTGTGCCCCGAACCCACGGCAGCTCGGGGGAGCTGCGAAGTTGGGTTGTACTTTTTTTTTTTCGCTTGTTTTGAGGGTTTTTTTGGGTTTGTTTTGTTTTTGTTTGTTTGTTTGTTTTATTTTTTTCTTTTCTAATTTGTCTCCCACCTCTCGTGTCCCCCCTCCCCCATTTAAACAGGAGATATTCTCATGACAGCGCCCGGGAGACTGACTGGAATCAGTTTTGGAGGGTGATACACCACGACAGCTAAAAGTTGGATAGGGTTTCAGCAGCTCCTATATAAAGCAGGGGGGACTTATGTCACTGCACTAATTAAATTCCATCTGGGTTGTTCCTCGGGGTGTTTTTGAGATTGCCACCCAACTCAAGCAGGCAGAGAGGCCCAGGGACAGCATGATGGACCTTTTTGAAACTGGCTCCTATTTCTTCTACTTGGATGGGGAGAATGGAGCCCTGCAGCAGCTGGAGATGGCTGAGGGATCCCCGCTGTACCCCGGCAGCGATGGCACCTTGTCTCCATGTCAGGACCAAATGCAGCCAGAGGCCGGCAGTGACAGCAGCGGAGAGGAGCATGTGCTGGCACCCCCGGGACTACAACCCCCTCACTTCCCCGGCCAGTGTTTGATCTGGGCTTGTAAAACTTGCAAGAGAAAGTCGGCCCCTACGGACAGACGGAAAGCAGCCACCCTGCGGGAGAGGAGAAGGCTGAAGAAGATCAACGAAGCCTTCGAGGCTCTGAAAAGGCGGACTGTGGCGAACCCCAACCAGAGGCTGCCCAAGGTGGAGATACTGAGGAGCGCCATCAGCTACATCGAGAGGCTGCAGGACCTCTTGCACAGGCTGGATCAGCAGGAGAAAATGCAGGAGATTGGTGGAGACCCCTTCAGCTTCAGCCCCAAGCAGGGAAATGTAAGCACTGCCGCTTGGCCCCTCCGCCGCCACGGCAGCGCCGCCGCGCCCGTCCCCTCCCTCCTCCTCCTCCTCCTCCTCGGCAGGGCCGCTGCGGGGGCCGGGAGGGCTGGCGGGCGCGGAGGGCGCTCCTCGAGAGCCTGCCAGCCCTCGGGCCCCCAGAGGTCCGCCGGCCCGGGGAGCCGCGGCGGCCCCGCTAATACCCGTCCTCTCTCCGTGTCTCCCCGCTCCCGCCCGTGTGCCGCAGATCCCCAGCTCGGACTTCCTGAGTACCTGCAGCTCCGACTGGCAAAGCGTTTCTGACCATTCCCGAGCCCTAGGAGTCAGCCCCAAAGAAGGTAACTCGCCCCGCGGGCCCCGCTCGCCTCCCTGCCGGCCCTGCTCGCCCGCCGCCCCGGGCCCGAGCCCCCTGCCCTCGCCACGACTCCCAGCGGCCCGGCCCTCCGGCAGCCGGAGAGTCTGCTCTTTAATGCCTTTTCTCTCGCTGAGCAGGAGTCTCCGTTGTCGAGTCGTCGGCCTCCAGCAGCCTTCGCTGCCTCTCTTCAATAGTGGACAGTATTTCTTCCGACGATCCCAAACTGCCCAGCGCGGAGGAAGCGGTGGAGAAATAAACCCGGTTTTCTGGTAGTATATTTAACGGAGATGGAGCCTCCACCTTCTCTCCTCTAAACCAAGTAATGAAGCAAATTCACACAGTGGAAGCCCAAGAAGGGCCCTTTTTAAGATCGAATTAAGGTACACCTACTCCGAAGAAAATGGCTCCCACGGACTCGAGCCAGACAGACTTCTCCCTTGCCTTTTTTTTTTTTTCCCCGAGTTTTGTTTTCTTTCAGTTGTGTTGCAAAAACCACCCTTTTTTTTTTCTTTCTTTCTTTCTTTCTTTTTTTTTCTTTCTTTTTTTTTTCTTTTTTAATTTAAGATACTTACCTGTGTACCGGTGATCCGCTTTGTCTGAGACTCACCGGGAAGTTCATTCCTGTCTGAGTGAAGCTCTTGGTTGCATTGCGTGTGAGTCATATTTAAGGAGTCCCCGTTCCTGTAAATAATTTCAGTACTGTCTTTTCTTTTGTAAACATAACATATATATTTAAATGGTGGAATGTGATATTGTATATAAGAACAGATGGTTTTCTTGGATTGTAAAATAAAGCTCTTTGTGTTACAGTGTTTTCCTCCGTCATCTTAATTTCATAAATAACCTGATGCCGGAGTTCAAACCTGCCACTGACTTCAGTGAGTGAAGGCCTAAAGAGTCAGAACCATGTAGCAGAAGCACGACCCCTTTGGCTGGAGGGTCAGATTTTCCGGGACAGACACGGGACAGATATTTCCTTCGTTTACGCCTCCAAGGTCTCCCCTTTAGAGCTGCACTTGCGGTGTGAATGACCCGTGTCTCCTCGGGCTCTCGGGAAAGCCGGACGGGCACGGGTGGGTGTATGGACAGGACCCGCCGCCTCTCAGTCCGCCCGCAGCGCTCCGCATCCCCGTTCCTCACCGTGCTTGCGGAACACACGCCCCCCTGGAAAGCGATTCTGCTCCCTAAAATTTTCAACAGTGCCGCTCAAGTACCTTGCCAGGCAAAGATGCTTCACCGGCATTGCCCTGCACGTGGAAGGTGAGGGTAGAAACGGGACATGAAAGAAGATACCCCCGCCCGTCGTCCTCCCCACTCCCCTCCCTACCCCCTCCCCCGACCTCCTGCCCCGGTCTGTGAGCTGGGAGAGGCTCAGTGCGTCTCACCTTCTCCTCTCGGCACCGAGGACTTGAACGCAGGGCTTGTCTGTGGCAAAACTGACGGGCCTGCTGCACTAATGGGGCAGCAACTGGCCGTGACAGAAGTCCGCTCCCTCTGGGACTGGAGAGAGCTGTAGTTTCTTCCCAGGAAAGGTAACTCCCCTTGACTTCCTTGAGCCTGAGGGAGAAGGAAATGGGGTCCTTCAGGAAGGAAAGAGTTAAGCGACCGAAAGGGTTTGGGGGTGGGGGGGTTAACAGCATATGAAGCCTTTCACTCAGTGATGTAAAAAAACACAGCCTCTCTGAGGATGGTGAAACGGAGCTGCTCACAGTCAGAGCGTTACGGTTTGTAATAGATTGTACCCCGGGGAAGGGGCGACCACCAGGGAACAGAGCGTTCTGCCCCTAGCACACACACAGGGCTCTCCGGACAGCCTGCACAAGCAGAGGACACTCTCTACCTGCCTGAGGTTTCCTAGCCAACTTTAGCCCTTGATTTATTATTTGTTTCTGTGTTTTGAAAGGTCACAGTCGTGTTTCGGGAAGGTTCCCCTCTTTGTGGCCATCTGGGGCACGGTTACACCCGTCTGAAGTGGAAGCCCTGGGTAGAGCCTGCCCCGAGAGCTGGCTCTCCAATCGGCCGTGCCTTCCTGCTACCCTTTCTGCGCCGCCGTAACCGGGTTTTTAAACCCGTCATGTACTACCTCTAGTTGCTCTCTCACGAGATATTCCCTTGCGAGGACCAATTGCGGCGGGACAGTGTGGTGGGCACAGTGATGCAATACGCGCCCCATTTTTTTTCCTCCTTTCAAATTAAACCCCGTTGCCTCGGGGAACCCTCGGACTCTTTCAGAAAGCGGCGCGCCGGGGAGCGCGGGGCCCTTCGTGCCGCCTCTGAGACCTGTCGCGGGAGCGGAGACGGTGCAGCTCGCTTCTATGGCGAAGGCACTTGCCCAGTAAGAGACTATTTCAGATCGGGCTAGCAGCTCGTCGACTTCCTTCCTAAGTGGTTTCAAACCCCGCCGAGTCCGCGGGAAGGGCTACACACCATTCACACGGCGATCCGAGCCCCGCGAGCCCCGCTGCCCGCATCCGGGCAGGAGCCGGGCCGAGCCACCCCTCAAAGCCACAGTGTCGCGCCCACACCGGGGCAGCCGACTGTCAGGTTCACCCGCAGCCGGGCAATCACCTCAACAATCCGCCCGTCCGCCCGGCAGGACCCCCACGGCAGCGTCTCCTCCAGCAGCAGGGTAACTTGAGCGATTGTTTGGAGTAAGTTTGCCTAAAGGAGAGTTTTTTCATTAAATAAAGAAAATACCTCCCGAAGAGACTCTCCGTGACCCCCGCGGCTGCAGCTGACATGCCGGGCTTCCCAGTGAAGGTCGTCAGTGTGTTTGCAATTAAAATGTTTGTGTTAGATATTAATAACGATAATCTTTACTTAAGTCCCCAGCCAAAGCAAACAGGGGCCTGGAATCACAAAATCAAAGGGCAGTAACTGGGTAAAGACGAGAGGTTTGCGATTTAATTAAGTCTTTTTCCGGAGGGACCACGCACAAAGTCATAGAAGTTTTTACGCAATTGCAAGTGCCCCTACCGCTCCCTCCTCCCCTCTGCGGGCTGGAAATCCCATGCTCAACACAGCCTCCCTCGCCTCTACCTGTTCAGCTCCTCTGGGAACCAACCACCTGCTCATTCCCTCAGGAGCGGAGGGATGCGGGGCTCCGCCGGCCCGCGGTGCGGGGTGCCCGGCCCGGCGTGGCACAGCTCCGCCGTCCGCCCGGGGTGCCTGCAGGGCCGGGAACGAGGGGAGGAAGGGGGGGAAAGGGGGGAATGGAGTGCCTGTCTGCAATGCTGCCGCGTTGACACCGCTTTCCTCTGAAGTGACGCGACCGAGGGTTTAAAGCCTTGTTTTCAGTTTGAGGCTTTTCTTTTTGTATTTTTGTTGTTGGGTGTTTTTTGTTTGTTTGTTTGGTTGGTTGGTTTTTTGTTTTATTGGGGTTTTTTTGGTTGGTTGGTTTCGGTTTTCATTCGTCTTTTTATTCGTCTTTTTTTTCCTCGGTGAAACCGCTCGCAATCCAGGGAGGGAAGCGGACAGCCAGCAGTAGGCTTAGCTCATTCTCTGAGCTCGGAGTCAAGGCGGTCAAGAGGCGACACAGCAACTATTTTCACAGGAAAATTCCTGCGTGGACCACTGGTGCTTTGGGGACCATGTACGATTTTTCCACAGTTTCTGTCTTTCTGTGGAGAGCGAGCTAGGGATGGGTGTAGGGGGCAGGGAGGGAGGAGGCTGAATAATTGAACCATGTGCTCGCTGGGATGCCCCTCCGATAGCAGGAACTAGCAACTTTTCCCAGTCTCAAGGCTGCTAAAAACTCCCTCGTGTCCCTTTGATCTCTCCTGGGAGTCCCGGGGAGCCATCAGAGGCCAATGCCTTCTTCAGCTGTCCTCTATACAATTCCCTCTGGCAGGTACTAATGTGTTTACTTAGGTGCGCACGGTTCCCAGCGCTGGGGGGAACCAAACGTTTCTCACACGGCTGGAAGCGCCCGGCCCCACCAGCCCGACTGGGAAACAATTTTGTTGTTGGGGCATCACGGCGGAGCACTCGCTGCCGCTCCCAGCGCCCGCGGAGGCGGGAGCCGAGCGGAGCGGGGCGGAGCGGCTCGGCACCGTGAAGTTCCGCGCTCCGTGTGCGCTCCGTGGAGGCCGGGGCTGGGGTGCGCTCGGCGGTACCGCAAACACCTCTCACCCCCTCAGTCCGGTGACTTATGGTTTCGGTAGGATTTTCTTCTCTGAAATAGAAAGGCGTGTGACTTGGGAAAAGATGGCACACTCTTCAAACGGTGCCCCCAGGGGTTGGAATCCCTCCAGGAATAGGTGCGGCACAACGATTCCGGAGGAGTGGAGAGGGCTGGGGTGAGGAACACTATTTAAAAGGATCCTAACACGTTCACCACTTTCTCTCTAGCAGTCCACATGAGCAGACAGTATCTGATGCTAAGACTGCTCCTGCTTTCCAGACTTGAGCCTACTGAAATGCAGCACTATCTTCCCCCTCCCCCCACCTCGCCCTTCGCCAGCAGCCTCATTAGCTAACCTTCTAGTCCGTGTTTTCTCCCCCCTTTCTTTAGTTCCACTCGCCTACTGCATTTTTGCAAATTTGTTTTGAGATCACTTTACCAGAGGAGCCGGGGTCTCCTTAAGGGATACTAATTACTGATTTTTTTTTTTTCTTCCTGAGTGATAGGCTATGGTTTCTTCTATTTCCCCAAAAACATTCAAGGGAAAAGGAAATAATTTTTTCCAGGTCTTCGAACACTTTTGGGGAAAAGCACGTTTTTTAACAGCCTCAGCTCCTCTGAGTTAAGAGTCAAATCTGCACGCTGTGTATGCCAGGAGAGCGGGACTGATGGGCTTGGCGTTGTGCACCGGGAGATCTGCAGTGCATGCTTGGAGAGAATCCAAGCATGCACCAACACAGAAAGGTGATCGGAACTGCAACCGGCACTTAAATATCAAGTTTATTTGTGCACGAAGCATAAATATGTAAACATGTCTATTTTAGCCAGCGCAAACACGGTAAATGAAATTGTGTGTGTATGTGTCTGTGTGCGTGCACGCCACAGCCCAGTGAAGAGTTCAAGTTACTGCTGAGCAGAACCCCTCCTGACTGATGCTGTCTTAGGAAAACAATAGGGAGCTGTCCTGTTTCAGATGTGGCCCAACAAAACAGCAACCTGTACCTCAGAGCGGCAGAAGCCTGAAATTCTGAGCTTTCCCATTCTGTAACTTTACTCCTTTATCAACTCCCTGCTTCTCGTACAGTATTCATTTCAAAGGGGTCTCCCCGTGTTTATGGCCCGAAATAAACCAAAGCAGTGCAGATGTAGCCTTCCCCAGCTTTTAGATAATTTTGCATCCTTTCATAGGAAGAAGGGTATGTTCATGGTTGCTTTTAAGGAAAAAATTTAGCCTAAGAGTAGAAATCCGCCCTTTGGGGGCTCAGGGGTGGTGGTAGCGGGGAAACAAGGATGGGCTCCCTCCAGCCCCAGCACAGGCCGAGCTGCTTGCCTTTCTTCGCCTTGCCCCTGCGGATCGGAGGGCTTCTCGGCGGTGTGCCCTGCCACAGGGCATCTGTCTCGGGAAATACTTCCCTACCTGCCTTGCTAACTTGATCAGCGTCTCCTGGAGACAAGCGGCTCACCGTGTCACCACATCACATCTTCCTGAAGAGAGGCTAACTGGAGGCGCCTTTTTCCTGGGCACACAAACCGGCTCCGTAGCATTTGAACCGCTGCTGGGTCTCCGTTTCAGTTAGCCTAGGTCACATAATTTTATTCCCAGGTAGGGAAGGTTTCCTTTGCCTTCTCATAATATTTTCCTCAGCTACAAAAGCCACCTGGATGAAACCAAAGGATTCCTGCGCGCTAGCAAATGCCTGTTAAATGGCTTCATTACCACTCTAATGACCCTTGCACCGCCCCACTCGGCTACTGCCGCGGCTGGGGCTCCGCAAGGCTTTTGTCCCCTTGTGTAAAGTTACTTAGGGATTGCGGGGTTAGAAATTTTACACTTCCAGGAGGGGTTTGTTGCACTGGCAGCTGGGACGCATCTGTAACGGTACAAGTTTGCCTGAAAGCAGAAAATTAGCAAGCCCAAGGCACTGCTTGACTGTTATGTCCCTAGCAGCTCCAGGTCACAAGAGAAGGAGAAAGAATGGGAAGGGGATTTGTCTCGGAGCAAACACGTACACTTTTTTTTTTGTGAGTACCTTTCCTTATGATCCGATCCGGCAGCACTAAAATCTGGTTTCCCCCTTCCTCGTCTCTCCTGGCCACAAGTAGCTGTGCATTGTTGTCCCCCAGTTTGTATATTTGAGCGGTTGGTGGCACAGCTTTAATTACTGGACAAAGCACTCCTCGAGATAAATAAAAACACCCTAGGTCTAGGAAGAAGGTTGTAATTTTTCAGGTTAGACCTGGATCACGGGCCGTGGGAAATAAAGATATGCAAGTAGACACTGTAGGTGTCCCTCCCGCGGAAACCTGTGATGGGAAACGGGAGATGGGAACACCGAGACGAGGAAGGGCTCTGTAGGAGCCACTGACAAGCGGTTCGTGCGCACCCACTGCCCCTCTTTCTCTTTCCATACCAAACTGCTAATTCACAGACTTGGTTGGAAATTAGGAGATGTCGCAACCAGTGCTTGGGAGGTCGTTCGTTAGAAAAGTGCCCATCTTTCGGAGCTCCAAAGGAGCGGTGCGGAGCAAATTGTCTCCTGGGGACTGGAGGGGGCCTGCCCAGACAGCTCCCGGCAGGGGCTGTGGTGGGATATGCTAATAAAGACTGGCCGCTGCGGACCAGCCTCCCTTTCCATGTATATATAAGGGCCCCCTGCATCAGCCAAAGGACACTTGGTCTCGGGTCCCTAATTACGGAGGAAATTGCCCCAGCGCGCTGCGGAGCGCCTCGCCGAGAGCCTGTGGCCGCCGTTCCGTAGTGACGCCTCCGCAGCAGGGATGGAGGTGATGGACAGCTGCAAGTTCTCCCCGTCCGAGCTCTTCTATGACAGCTCCTGCCTCTCCTCCCCGGAGGGCGAGTTCCCCGAGGATTTTGAGCCCAGGGATTTGCCTCCTTTCAGCGCCCACGAGCCCCCCGAGCCCGCCTGCTCCGAGGAAGAGGAGCATGTCCGAGCTCCCACTGGCCACCACCAAGCTGGTCACTGCCTCATGTGGGCTTGCAAAGCCTGCAAAAGAAAATCCACCACAATGGACCGGCGGAAGGCAGCCACCATGAGGGAGAGGAGGAGGCTGAAGAAAGTGAACCAGGCTTTTGAGACCCTGAAGAGATGCACCACTGCCAACCCCAACCAAAGACTCCCCAAAGTCGAGATCCTGAGAAACGCCATCAGATACATCGAGAGCCTCCAGGAGCTTTTGAGGGAACAGGTAGAAAACTACTATCACCTGCCGGGACAGAGTTGCTCCGAACCAACCAGCCCCACTTCCAGCTGCTCCGATGGGATGGTAAGACAGAGGCAGGAGCCATAGGGCTGTGGGGACCCCAGGTCGGCCCACGGGCAGGTCCCTCTCGGCCCAACGCCGTGGGACCAGTCCCATGGGTGTGGGACGGGCCGAACGCATCCGGACATCAGGAAAATCGGGCGGTTTGCCCCAGAACAGGCCCTTTCCCAGATGTTCCGCTGAGCACTCTCGCGGGCTTTCCGGGGATGCATGGGGGGCGGTAGCGCTGCCCGAGGGCACCCTGCAGCGCCCGGATCCCGGGGTCCCAGTGTCCCTTCTGCTGTCCCCGGGGTAAGGCTGGGGGCTGGGGAGAGGAGGAAGGCGCTGCCCAGGGCCAGCAGCCTGGATGGGGGGCGGCTGCTTCGCTCCCTCCCCGCCGGCCTTTATGGCCCTTTCCCTTCTCGGGGAGCGTCCCGCTGGCCCCTGGGCGGGGGCGGCAGGGTCGGCACTGGCCCCTCGCTGTCTTGCAGGCCGACTGTGGCAGCCCCGTTTGGTCGGCGAGAGGCAGCAGCTTCGAGGCCGTCTACTGCGCGGAGATGTCCCACGGTAAGCCTGTCTCGGCGGGCCGGGGGCAGAGGCGGGGCCGGGCAGCCCCGCTCCCCGCGCCCGGGGGAGGCAGCGCGGCACCCGCGGTAACGCGCGCCCGTGTCCCCCGGGCTCCGCTCGGCGCAGGCTACGCCGCCGACCAGAGCAGCGCCCTGTCCAGCCTGGACTGCCTCTCCAGCATCGTGGACCGTCTCTCCCCGGCGGAGGAACCGGGGCTGTCCCTCCGCGACGCCGACTCCCTCTCGCCCAGCATCGACTCGGGGCCGGAGACGCCCGGAACGCCGCTGCCCCGACGGACCTACCAGGCGCTATGAGGGGCCGGAGGGCCGGCACCCCGCGCCCGGCCCCTCCTGCAAACGCTTCTCGGGCGAGAGGGGCAGCCCCGGAGCCCCTTGGGCCGCCGCTTTCCTCTGGGGCTGCGGGCAAAGCGCCGCGCCGGCCCCCGGCCGGGGATTTCCCGCACCCCGGCAGGGCGGGCAGAGCCCGGGGCTCGGGACACGCGCGCTGCCCTGGAATCCCCGCTGCAAATAAAGCATGCTGTGAGAGAGATGTCTGGCCGGCTGGTTCTTAAAGTGCATTCCCTAGCATGAGGGAGGGCAGCGAGACTCGGCTGCGGGGCGCCCGCCAGCATCCCTGCTGGGCTCCCACCCAACCTCGGTCGCCCCTGGGCTCCTGCCTGTGGGGTACCCCCCTCCCTGCCCCAGCACGGCAGTCCCCAGCCGGGACATGGAGTGTCTTGCCGGGCTGGGGCCTGGGAGCTTGTCTCTCCTTCCACCAGTGTGTACTATTCTGAGACCACTCATGGAGCAACAAAAACGTGGACGTTTAAATTCTTACACTGTATGTCCTGTTATGGGCAGAGTTTCCTTTATTTTCTGCAACAGCAAAAATATTTCAAAGTCATATATTTCCATCTTTCCTCCCTGCCTTCCCTTTCCATCCACACCTGAAAAGCTCAAGTTTCTTTCACTGGGTGTGAAGAGGGACTGTGTATTCCAGAATTTGACCCTAAAATTGCATGGTGACTCTGCTCTTAAAGCAACTGTATGATCTAGCTCTGATGCTGTGCTAGGGAATTTTATTTGTTGCTCTGGCAGAGACAAAATTAGTAAAGTTAGTAAGAACAAACCACATGTGTCTCTTTCATAAGCCACGAGGTATATTTCACAATATTCAGAAAGCAATATAGATTTATTTACTCCTAATGACTTTGGTCTTAGCAAACAGGATGCAAATTCATTCTACATGGCTCTAGAAATAACCAGGTCAAATCTCCATGTGTTTTCAGACTTAACAAATACTTCCTTCCAGGCATTAAATTAGCCAACCATCCCCACCCACCCCACCAAAAAAAAAAAAACAAAAAAAAAAAAACCAAACAAAAAAAAAAACCCAAACAAAAAACCAAAAAACCAAAAAAACAACAACAGAAAAACGCCCACCAAACCAGATGAGATGGTGAGATGGAGAGATGGACTCTTTCAGTTCATTAAAAAATGTTTCATATGATAAATACTCTGAGTGGGAAGGGATATATACACCTATACACCTCACTATTGTGGGGTAAGGATGTATTTGCCATTTGTGTTTGTGTTGCTAGCACTCAGTGGCCAAGGGGCCTGGCAGTGATATTTCACCTCTGATAAATCTTTCAGTTGAACCCAGCCCAGCTGAGTCATGTCACCAAAAGTTATCATCTGACTAGCCTTTGGCAGCATCTCTGAACCAAAGATAAAAGAAGCCCTTGCTTAGGGATGGCTCTGTCCCTGTAAGCACACTGAGGGTCTCTGTCCCCCGACAAGGGGTCACAGGGAAAGTCAGGTGGCACCTGCCTTCCTGAGCCTGCAGCACGGCACTAGCAGGTGTGTGTCTGACACAGGGCAAGGCCAGCCTACCCTTTGTGCAGTTTCCCTCAAAATTACTTCCTGCCTTTGCCCATAGCCTTGAGGTAAGTGTTCTTTCCTTGCAGAATATTTCAGGAGGAGCTTTGACCAGAGAGGGCTTTCTGCATATACAGATAAGTCTGAACTAATCAGGGAGTAGAAGAAGTGGTTTTAAACCCCTGAGTTGCAGTTGTGCAGAGGTATAAACAAGGTATTCTCACACTCCTGTCATTGCAGATGTTTCAGCAGAATGCAAGTGCCTTAACACAGACATAGTCTTGGTTCTGGGGGATCACTTCCCAAGCCTTCTGTTCACAGGAATCCTTATGCAAGACCATGAATGTCACTGGTTTTATTTCCTGGCTTTTCACACTCTGCAGCAGTGTTGCAGTGTTTGCTCCTCTCAATCAAAATACCATCCCAAGGATACTTCTTATGCCCAGGATTTAATAGAGTGCAAATGATTTGAAATGGTATTTTAAAGTGAGCTAAGCTAGAGAACTTTCAGCATTTCATTCTGCATGCTGCTGACCTTGGCAAGTGATCTCGGATGAAGTATGCAGAGTAACACTAGCAAATCACATGCTGGTAATGTACACCTCTCTTCGGCTGGCAGACATTTTAGGAGTCGCAAAAAGGTCAATACTTCTGAGAAGTAGATTTTTAGTGTGAGGAGAAGCATTCCGTCTGTGGGATGTCTGTTCATAGCCTCCTAAGACCTAGTACAGTAGTTTACAACCTGTAGGTTTTGCTATACACATATGGGAAACAAAACCTTTATTACAGGACACCTACGAAAAAAAGCTCCTGTGAGCTGAAAAGTGCAATAATCCTTGTAAGGGATGGAAGCGAGCACCATGAAACTGCCTTTAGTCTGTGGATTGAGAAGAACAAAAAGGCTGTTGGGAGATACACCGTTCTGGTCAGATTATACATGTTTAATAGTAATATTAATAAGTGCAACTGAAAAGAAAGATTTGTATTCTATATGAAAGATGTTAATTTAAGGAAGGCTGTGCCCAGAAATAAATAACAAAGTGATGGTCTAGAAAATCTGAGCTCCACCTATCCCAACTTCTACTACGTGTTTGATTGCTTAAGTCTCTGGGGCAGCGTGTAGTGGCCTCACAGGCAGGTGAGCAGGTGCAGGGATGCCTCATGGTATCAGAATAATGAATATAACACAGAAGGTGTGTTACAGCAAGTTTTCTGACTATCACTCACTGCAAGGAAGGGCATCATTCTGTACACTTTTTAGAATACAAAAATATTGTATTTTACCTCTGAAAACCATGCTTATTTGGCTTAAATTATGACTGAGGGAGGCAGCTGAGCTGTATTTTTTTCATGTGTGAAGTCTCTTGTATCTTTTTGTTAATAAACCAAACAGAGATCTTTAGTGAAATGCATATTTTAAATTCAGATCAAAAGAGACATTTGTACATTGCAAAACTAACCTAGAAACCTGGAAAAGGTATCTTAAATATAACATCAAGACAAAAATCCTGCTTTCCTAATGTTCAAATTTCTGGAGTTGCTTGTGTGGAAGAACACTAATTTTGCCTGTAGGAAAATATCAAGTTCTTTCTTTTTCTGTGGTAAGGCTTAAAAGTGATAGATTTTTAGTAATTAGTTCTTAGAGGATGAAGGGAACTTTATTTGTAGTGCTTGTCTAAATATGCCTAGGAACATCTCAAATTCATAGCTACATTTCAGTGGAAATTCAGCATCTCTCCTTCCCAGTTCACCCTGCTTGTTAGGAGCAGTCAGTCTTCACCACAGCAGACAGCTCACCTCTCCCCACCCTAAACCTCCTCCCTCACTCCCTTCTTCCCTGCTTTTCTTCTCCATCTTATCCTCTTCAGAACCCTTGACTCGCTCATCACTTCTCCCTGCTCCTCTCAGCTGGCCCTTGGCATGCTGGAGGACTCACAGCTGGCCAGCTGACTTCTGACCTTTGGCAGGTCCTGCATGGGGTATCAGCCTTACAGCTGGCCACAACTGCCTTCCTGGCAACTAAAGGCCTAATGAGCTTGGCCAGCTGGAGACTGGGCTGGAATCCTGCTGGCTGATTTGACCCTATGCGATGGATTGAGGGGTTCACCCCCAAATGTGGAGTGAGTGAGAGTGCATCTGTCTATGTGCTGCTGCCCCAGGGCATTAGAGCCAGGCTTCTCCTACAACCAATTGGATTACTGGGATGACAAAAAACAAAAAGAGACAGCAGGGATGTTTTTTCTTATGGTTTTTTTTTTTTTTTTTTTTTTTTTGGTTTTCTGTTGAGTATTAGGCTTCATTAGTGGCTATTACCCTCACTGCATCACATAGTGTTCACTTCACAGAGTCCAAGAGATACCCTAGACCAGGGCTGGCCTGAGGGAGTTGTTCCCCTTCCCAAACGCAGTGGGATATATTGTCCCTTTATCCAGCAGGTGCCCCACTTTCCTGTCTCCAGGAGGTTATGCATCTTGGACACTATATATGATAGATATATCATGCAAAACATTGTACTGCTACTTTCTCAAAAGTCTGCTGCTTTCTACTCCCCTGACCAGCTGAAAGGCATCATTGATCCATGGAGTCTGTTTACTTCTTGAGCATTAGTAACATTTATGAGCTGCCTGGCAATCTGCTGAAAAATGTTGCTGGCTATGATGCCAAAGGCATTGCTCATTTGTGCTTGAAAAAGTGATACCATGATATATGAGGGTCAGCAGACCCAGAGAGAGATCAGAAAGGTGTTTCAGTACCTGCATTATATCAGGTGAATTTGAGTCTGACACTTTCTGAGAGGCCCTCAGACCTGGAGTAGCAACAGAGGAAAAATGTGCATTTTTTCCCCATTATTTCTCTGATCTTCTGCGAATAAATGCTTTTGAACTGATACTATTTTCTGGTTTTAAAATCCACATAACATGAATTGAAAAAATAACTTTAGAAGCATTAAAAACCCTTCCAGTTGTCTGGAGTAGCGTCAGTCAGTCATCTGGAGGTGGCTGCCTTTGCTCTGGTCCTCACTGTCACGGTTCTGTCTCCTTTCTGTAGTATCAAGCTGATATTGTGACCAGACACCACACTCCTCCTCTAGGTTTATGCCTACCAAGAGCTGTCATTCTAAGGCTAGAATTCCTACATTTCATTAATATTTTATCTTGAGCAGCTGGGAGTCCTGGCCTTTTTTTCCTCACGTTGCATATAACGCTGTGCATTCCCAAATGGGAATAGTTTGGCTGTAAAACTTCTTGAAATGGATGTGCACCATCCTCTTGGATGCCTACAGCAGTGAAGACTTACACAGCACCGAAACAGTAAAATATGAGCTCATAATCCCTGCGTGATTAAATGGGGATTTTTCTGGGCCTCATCCTCAGTTTAAGCATTCACCCTCCTCGTCCTTGCAAACTCAGTGCAACTGTTTACCTGGTCACAGGTGGTGAGTGACCTCCAGTGAGGAGTTTGCTCCTGTTGTGCAGCTGGCTGAGGAAGACACATCGCATGAAGGTGCTTCATCCAGTGGGAATGCAGACACCCCACTAATCTGAAGCTGTTTGATTGCTAGAAATATGGGTGAATTTACGCCCAGTCTGGGAGAAAGTGCCTGTCTCATATTGGAAATTCCCTCTGGAAGACACACCTGGTGTTAGAAAAAAGGGGGTTCCTGCTGAAGCCAGGAAGGTCAGCACAGAAAGGGAGGGCAGTGGTCACCAGGCT